GTGGGGGGCTGGGGAGGGGCTGGGGCTGTGAGGCTGAGGCTCTGGGGTCCCCCCCAGGGGCGTGGGGGGCTGGGGAGGGGCTGGGGCTTGGTGAGGACTCACCACCACCCCAGACCTCTCACCTGGACCGCAGTACAGAATCAAAGTGGAGCCTGGACTTGGCAGGGGTGAACAAGAGGCCAGCTAGGGGTGCTGGCTTCTCTTCCCCTGTTAGCCACACACTTCCCGGGCAGGAAGCGACAGGCCCCCAAGTCCTGGTTTCCCCAACCCAGAGCTCCCTGGCCCCTTCTCCAAACTGAGCTCTGGGAGCTTAAGAACTGGCTGTGTGCAGACAGGCAGGGAGAGAGGGCAGCCTGCCGATCCCAGGCAACAGGGCTCCAGGTCCTCACAGAACGCCTTTGCCAGGGGCACTGGTGGGGCCCTGGGTTCTGGCTTCCTGACACAGGGGGAGGGGTTGGGGGCACAGGGCTCTGGGCAGGGGAGGGGTTGGGGGGACAGGGCTCTGGGCAGGGGAGGGGTTGGGGGACAGGGCTCTGGGCAGGGGAGGAGTTGGGGGGACAGGGCTCTGGGCAGGGGAGGAGTTGGGGGGACAGGGCTCTGTGAGCAGGGTTTTTCCAGGCGTGGTGCTGCTGAGTGCTATCACAGGTTTGAACTCTTCCCTAGTTCAGTGTTCCTCTCACTACAATGGGACATTTTAAAGACTGCATTAGATTTTTCTTTAAACTTTCTCCCACAGGATCCTGGGCCGTGCTGAGGCCAACCTGAAAGTGACAGCCAGGAATGGGGCCCAAACCCCTCCTTCCCCCTCCCCCCGTGCCACCAGGGGCCGGGGGATGGAGGGCCTGGGGACAGAGGGCCCGGGGATGGAGCCAGAGACAGGGCTGAGCCCTTCCAGCATGGTGGGCAGGGATGAGGCTGGCAGGGCCAGGGGTGGGGGAGCTCCTTTGGCCTCGGGTGGAAGTGGGGTCTCTGGTGACGTGGAGCCCTTCACCAAGGTGAGCCAAGGGCCATTCTACCCAGCATGGCAGCCTCCCGGGCTCCTGTGGGATTTCCAGAAGGTTCCTGGGGGTCTGTGTTGCTTTCTGGGTAGCTGTGGCTGGAGTGCGGGGTTGAGCGCGCAGGTGCAGGAGAGAAGGCAGACTCCTTCCAGAAGGAGCGTGAGCCGGGGAGCCGGGGGGGGGGTCGGAGGCCACAAGGGTGAGCAGGCGCGTGGCGCTTCTTGCAGATGCGCGTGTCATTAGGGTTTAACAGATGCAGAGTCTAAAGAGACAGAATCCAATTAGCTGGAATGTTCTGGCTCCAGCTGGCTCTGTACCATTTCCCTAATGGACTGGGGGGGGGGCTGGAGGTTCCCTGGGGAAGGTAGAGGACATGAGCCAGGACTCACCATGCTGCCGGCCCGGGCGCAGCCCTCTCCCTGGAGGGAGGAGGATGGAGCCCCCTCCCGCCCCCTCAGCCTCGAAGCAGGGAGGCCGCGAGGGGAGGCCTGGGGAGCCAGGACCCCACCTCCACCTTCACGCCCATCCTGGGCCCATCAGAGAATGGGCTGGGCCTGGCCAGTGTGCCGGCTCCGTGACCCTGTCCTGGATTCCAGGGGTCCAGGCATCCCCCATGAGGGGTGGCGGCTGGCTGGCTGGGGGTGAGCCCGGGAGTCCACAGTCCAATGCTGTGCACCTGCCGTGCCCTGGACCTCAGACCCTGCCCACAGGGAGCCAGGGGCAGTGTGGCCAGTGAGGGTAGCCCTGCTCCTGAGGACACCTGGGTGATCAGCAGGGGGTCAGGCCTGGAGGGGCAGCGTGGTCCTGACTGTGGAAGCCCCGTGTCTGCGTTGGGGCAGTGGCCTTGGAAGAGCCTCGGCTGGTGCAGGGGGCTGAGGCCGCAGGTCTGAGAGCTGTGGCTCTGAGGGGAGAGGAGCCAGGGCAGCAGAGCTCTGGCCGCTGCTGCTGCCGTCCCGGCTCTGCCTCCGAGAAAGGCCAGGCAGAGCGGGTGCAGCGGCCAGCGGGGGCAGCGGCCTCCTGCAGCCTGGGTGGGGGAGGGTGGGAGGATCGCGGGCCTGGGCCGGCTCTGGGCCCAGCCTGGGGCCTCGGGCTCCCCTCGGGCAGCGGCCCTGGTCCAGCCTGGGGCCTCGGGCAGCAGCCGGCTGGCTGAGGCTGTCCGGGACCTGCCCGCCGGGCAGCTGAGCTCTGGAGGGCACAGCCTGCCCCGCCAGGCTGAGGTGGACATCGCCTCCCTTCTGAGTGGAAACGGTGCGAGGAGCGAGGGTGGCCGCACTGTGGGCTCTTGGGCCTGCCAGCCTCTCAGAAGGCTTGGCTCTCCGACCGTCCAGGGGGAGGGCGGGTGTGAGGCCCTGAGGGTGACTTTGGGATGTGAATGAGGTGAGGTGGGGCTCACCCCTTCCTAAACCCCCACCTAACCCTGGGTTGTTTCTGCAGCCCCAGGACAATGAACAACACCTGCGACTACGTCACCTGGTCCTCCTCGCTCAACTACGTCTTCCTGGCCTACTCGGCCACGCTGCTGGTGCTGGGCCTGCTGCTCAACGGGCTGGCACTCTGGGTGTTCTGCTGCCGGATGCGGCAGTGGACGGAGACTCGCATCTACATGACCAACCTGGCTGTGGCCGACCTCTGTCTGCTCTGCTCCCTGCCCTTCATGCTGCTCTCCCTGGACCACACGTCGGACACCCCGCTCTGCCAGCTGTCCCAGGCCGTCTACCTGGTCAACAGGTACATGAGCATCAGCCTGGTGGTGGCCATCTCCGTGGACCGCTACGTGGCGGTGAGGCACCCGCTGCGCGCCCGCGGGCTCCGCTCCCCGCGCCGGGCGGCGGCCGTGTGCGCGGGCCTCTGGGTGGCGGTGCTCGGCTCTCTGGTGGCGCGCTGGCGCCTGGGCGTGCAGGAGGGCGGCTTCTGCTTCCGGAACCGCGCCCGCCAGCAGTTCGGCAGCACCGTGATCTCCTTACTTGGCTTCTACCTGTCGCTGGCCGTGCTGGTCTTCTGCTCCCTGCAGGTGGTGACCGCGCTGGCCCGGAGGCCGCCCGCCGACGTGGGATGGGCCTCCGGCAAGGCCGCCCGCATGGTGTGGGCCAACCTGGTGGTGTTCGTGGTCTGCTTCCTGCCCCTGCACGTGGCTCTGACGGCGCAGGCCGCCCTGGGCCCCACCTCCTGTGCGGCCCGGGTGGCCTTCTCCCAGACCTTCTCCATCACCAGCAAGCTCTCCGACGCCAACTGCTGCCTGGATGCCATCTGCTACTACTACATGGCCAAGGAGTTCCAGGACGCGTCCTCCCTGCCCGTGGCCTCCGGAGGCAAGGCCCACAAGAGCCAGGACTCCCAGAGTATGACCCTCACCTAGCCTGTGTGCGGCGCGGGCCGGGGCGCCTGCCGCCGGGGAGACTGGCCCCGACCAAAGACTGTGGTGCTCTCCAGCACCCCAACCCAGCCCAGGCCCGGGGGTTGCATCTGCTCCCTTGGGAAGAGAGTGGAGCCAAGGCCAGAGGACAGAGGCTGAGAGAGCCAATCCCAAGGACTCAGGACAGGGTGGCGCTCCTGCCAGCCCCAGCAGGTGGGTGGTGGGGGCGGGGGGTCTCTACTGCAGGCTGAGTAAAGCTGTCCACTGAGAGTCGGTCCTGCGGATCCCCACGTCTCCTGGGCTCTGTGGGGGGGGGTCAGGTGGCTCAGAGGGCCGTGCTCTGCAGGGCTCCCCTAGACTGTCTGTGCAGGAGTGGAGCCGGGCGCGGCGGGGCCCCTCTGCCAGGGCAGAGGAAGGCGCGCAGGGAATCCGTCCGTCCTGTCAGCTTCCCGTGGTGATGGTTCTGCTTTCCCGGCCGGTGGCAGGTGGCGTGACAGCCCGACTGCACTCAGCTGCCCTGTTCGTTTTGTGGGGTGAGGGCGGAACCGCTTCACTCGCGCCCTGCATGGCCGGTGCTGGTCATAGGCTGCGGAGCCGGGGCCTGGCCTGGCCGCGGCCAGCTTCTGCCCAAAGGCCCCAGCGTAAATATTTTGTCTCATGTGACCCGCCCACTGCTGCTGGAGCACGGGTGTCACGGATGCAGTCACAGACCACACACACACCGAGAGGCAGCTGGGCCCAGAGGGCTGTTTACAAGACGCCGCGGCACAGGCCCACCCAGCGCACGCCCAGGATGCTGTCCCCAGACTCCGGGCCTCTCCTTTCAGCTCATTCACTGACTCTTCTACCTGAGCTGGCCTGGCACGAGCCCACCGTGTCTGCACAGCCCCTGACCCGCGGGGGACTCCTGACCCGCGGGGGACTCCTGCCCCGCGGGGGACCCCTGCCCCGGGGGACCCCTGACCCGCGGGGGACCCCTGACCTGGGGGACTCCTGCCCCGATGGGCAATAGACGTATCGCAGCACAAGTATTCGGTCCATGTGTGATAAGTACAGGCCGTGCAGCCCTGAGGGCTGGACTCTCAGGGTCACAAGGTCCCCCTGGGATTGACCTTCTGGCCTGTGCTGGGAATGGCCAGTCCAGGGTCCCGTCCTGTGCCAGGAATGGCCAGTCCAGGGTCCCGTCCTGTGCCGGGAATGGCCAGTCCAGGGTCCCGTCCTGTGCCGGGAATGGCCGGTCCAGGGTCCCGTCCTGTGCCGGGAATGGCCGGTCCAGGGTCCCG